AATGGTCCTTAGGTCAAGGTTTTGACCTTCAGGCCTAGTTCACTACACTGATGTGGAGGGGACAAAGACAGAGGGGTCAGCTGTGGTGTGAGGAATCAGTGACCTGATCGACTCAACATTTTTAACAAAGAAACTGGCAAAGTCGTCACACGTAACTGCAGAGACCTCCCTGTTGGCAGACTGAGGCACAGTTAAAATGGCGTTAATGGTATTGAAAAGAACACGGGGATTGTGGTAAAATGGTAAATGGACTGTACTTATATAGAGCCTTTCTATCTTATTTCAATATACTCAAAGCACTTTACACTACAATCTGTGTCCTCATTTACCCATTCATACAGCACTCTACTAGATCTCTACAAAGCTAATTGAACAAATCATTCTAATGAGACTAATCAGTGCTTTAGATCACATTCATACACTGATGGGACACATATCAGAGGCTATAAGGGGTTCAGTGACTTGCCCAGGGACACTTCGGCATGTGACTGCTGGTGGATTCGAACCCCCAACTCTCGCATTGGAGGACGACTGCTCTAACCACTCAGCCACAGCCACCCCGGATTGTGGCTGTTTGAGGTGATGATTTGGGAGAAATATTTGTTTGTTTCTGATTTAACAATGGCCTGCTACTCTTTGTAACATGATTTTAGCATGAAAAAAGAAACGTGAAGTTTGTCCTTCTTCCATTTACGTTCGGCTTTCATGCATTGACGTTTGGCTGCGCGAGTGATCTCATTCATCCAAGGATGTGGAGTGCACTTTGGATGCCTAATTTTTAATGGTACAACTAGGTCAAGCACCTTAGCATAGGTCTCTTGATGTACAGTGACTAGCTCAAGGGTGTTCATGGAAGAGGATTCACAGACTGAGAGAGAGTTTTTAGTAAAAGCAGACGAAAAGAGCGCAGCAGTGGAAGGGTTAAATATTCGACAAGGCCTTGCTGGAGGGGGAGGGGGTTTGGACTCGTTGACAAAAGAAGTGTTGAAAGAAATGGGTTTGTGGTCAGAGAAAACTGCATCCCCAATTTCTAACTCAGAAACAGATAAACCAAATATTAATACTAAATCCAGTGTGTGGCCATGCTGGTGACTTGGTCCTGCAACATTCTGTACAAAGTTCAGAGACTGGATCAGATCTAGAAAGTCCTGAGTCAGCTGCTTTTCAGGGCAACGGACATGTATATTGAAATCTCCCAGAATCAAAACCCGATCATATCTGAGCAGAATCCAAGTTAACAAGTCAGAGTTCAGCCATGAAGTCCTTATTATATTTGGGTGGCCTGTATAACACAGCAGGAAAAAAAAAAACAGGGTTTGAACATCCTGAGCAAGCACTGTGGCAACAGTGGAAAGGAAAAACTCAATTTTAAAAGGAAGAAACCTCCATCAGAACCAGGCTCAGGACAAGCGGCCATCTGTTTTGACCGGCTGGTTGAGAGAACAGGAAGGAGAGACAGACGAACATAGGTCCAGGTATAGGTCCAAGTGTAACTGAAAGACAAAAAAACACATGTTAAGGATAGAAAAAATAATTACAAATACAAAACAGGTTGAGCAGAGTAAGTAAAGACAATAGCAGAGTGAAAATTGTGGTCAGTTTGTTCTCCAGCAGTCTAAGCCTATAGCAGCATTGCTGTCCCTTAGTTATGCTGCTATCTCTCCTTCCTGTTCTCTCAACCAGCCGGTCAAAACAGATGGCCGCTTGTCCTGGGCCTGGTTCTGCCGGAGGTTTCTTCCTTTTAAAAGGGAGTTTTTCCTTTCCACTGTTGCCACTATGCTTGCTCAGGATGGGAGACTGCAACGAAGCCAAGATTCAACTTGTCTGCAGGATTCCTTAAATAGAGAACTTTACTAATTGGCTTTTATGTATGTGAATGTTTCTGTAAAGTGTCCTGAGACAACTTTGTTGCGATTTGGCACTATATAAATAAACTGAATTGAATTGAATTGAATTGAATTGAATTGAATTGAATTGAATTGAACGGCCCACCTCAAAACACAGCAGTTCGAAGCTCAAAAAATTAGCTGATATTTGTACCAGTTTGCAGTTCCAACGTTTTTTGAAAATAGTTAATAATCCACCACCTTTGCCTGATGTTCTCGGAACATTAAAATAAGTACAGTCCGGTTGTAAAATTTCCGACAGGGCCATGAACTCACAACAGGAGAGCCACGTCTCAGTCACGCAGAAGTCCAGACCGGTGGAATAGAAAAAGTCCTTCAAGATGAACGTTTTATTAGCCAGAGACCTGGCGTTAGTGCAATCCTTGTAGGAATCACAGCAGGAGAAGTTGTCCACGAAGTTAAGACCAGCAGTCTCAGATTTGTGGAGTTCGACCCGTGACTCCAACGACCGGAAGCCCAATCACGGCGAACAGGTCTGCTGTGGAAGCGCAACCCGACCCGTGGGACCGGGAGGGACTCAGGTGGATCGGCGCAGCGCCAGGACAGGTGATTTAAGATATGGTCCTCGGTTGAAGAGGAAGCTGCAGCAGTAGCAGCCCGGCAGGCTTTGAACCTCACAAGACGGCCGTCTCATTTTTTCCACGGCGCCTGGAGCGATGTCTTCGAGTGGGCAGGATACCACGGCGGAGGTAAACAGGAACGTCTTCATGCAGAGGTGGGGGTCCGAGAGGGGGTCCAGAGTTACGATCATTATGATCAAACAAAGCAAGACTGATGGCAGATAGTCGGAGATTTAGGAGTTGATGACGTTCATAAACCAGCAGTGAGTCGATGTTGTAGGTGAAAAATGACAAAAACAGAAAATACACAATCACTGCAGACAGAGGTGGAGGGCAGGCAGATTGGGGTCATTACTGAGAGACACTAGGGAGTACGGACATAGGGAGACTGACAGAGGGATACCATCCTTACATTAAAAAAAATTAAATTAAATTAAAATATAAAATAAAATTAAAAAAATAAAAATATATTAAAAAAAAATATATATATATTTATATACAAATATATGTATGTATACATGTATTTATATGTATAATACATATATTTATATGTAAAATACATATATTTATATGTATAATACATATATTTATATGTCGACGAGGGGGAGGGCCAGCACTTGAGGAGGGTGCGTGCCAAAGACACCATCTTAGCACCAACATAACTGGTTTGTTCCACTTTGGAGTAAGCTGTTTGGGGGAAGAATCAGTTTTGTGTTGTGTGTTTCCTTGACTGATGAAGCCTTCTGGATGGAAGGTGAAATGTTTCAGCACCAAAAAAAAAAAAAAAGAAACTGTCCAGATGACCTGACTGAAAATTGTTGGATTGTATATCTGGATTATTAAGCATGGACTTTGTTGGTATAATACACATATTTATATGTATAATACACATATTTATATGTATAATACATATACTTACACATTCAACATACACCATTATTGCATGATTATGCACACAACCAGCACCTACGTTGAGTTTTATATTATGTGATGTTCTGCCAAGTTGATTTCTGCTGAACTGCCAGGAAACAAAGCTGTCTATCAACATGATGGAAAGTGAAGTTTCTAGTTTTCTGTTAATGTCATGTGAAAGGATAAAAATGTTCCCCTGTTTATGTAAATCCTTACAGGGAAGATAAAAAAAAAAAAAAAAAAAAAAAAACACAAACTAACCAAAGAACTGTCTTTCCAAGAAGTGGTTAGAGATATCAGAGGCAGACATTATGGAACTTACACTCGTGTCAGAGAGACAACAAATCTTCTCAGAGAAGCTATAAATAAGAAACATGTTTCTAAAATGCTTTAAAGAAAATGATTCTCCTCTCCTCTCTTTTTTTTTTTTTTCAGCTTTTGAGCGCGGCCACTGCTATGAGCCATATCTTCAGAATGGAAACTATACTACGTCAGACCCGTTGTACGGTGTTGGAGCTGTGGTTCAGTTCACTTGTGACCCAGGCCACTCTTTAGAGCAAGGCCCCCCGGTGATTGAATGCATAAGTGCCAGAGATCCGTACTGGAACGACACCGAGCCACTCTGCAAAGGTAAAATATAGGACAGAATAAAATGGGCTTTCAAGCTGATTTTTTTCCCTCCTAAATCAATGTATTGGTTTGTTTTTAACTAATATTCAAGTTTTAATTAATGATTTTTTTAAACAATTTTTCATCAACATACTTGTACTTCATCATTTTGCACAATTTTGTATTGGTCTGTCACATTAAATCCCAGTGAATTTGTTTGTGGTTCTAACTTGACAAAATATGGAAAAGCTCAAGGGGTGTGAAGATTTTTTGGGAGGTGCTGTGAGTGTTGTGTCAATACCTGCTCGGCTTAAACCAGGGGTGCCCAACCTTTTTTGAACCAAGAGCTACTTTTGAAGTCTGCAATTTGCCGAGAGGTACTCGTCCAGTCTCATTATCAACAAACATAATTTTTCATCAATCCCTACACCTCACTTCTTTAAAGTAAATAAAACAGAACGTGATGTGTCTATAGGAGACAACTTTTTATGCAAGCTGTATAAAATAAATGTGTCTCTACCTTAGTGGGACTTCTGACACTGAGAGGAGGAGGCCAGGGTCTCATAAGCTGGGCAGTATGAGGTGGTTGCGAGGCGCAGGCAGGTCTCCAGATGATCATCATTCATTGTGGATCTGTTTTTGGACTTGATGATTTTCATGTGTGAAAAAGCAGACTCACACAGGTAGGTAGATCCAAAAAGTGCTGTTAAGTTCAAAGCACATCTTCGGATGTTAGGATACTTTTCTTCTGACAGCAGACTCCAGAACTCTCCATCCACGCCAGGTGATGCTCTGGATTTAATCCCAATGTCATTTTGCAGAGTCAACACCTCATTTTCAACACCAGAGCTGTCCAGCTGAAACACGGACACCAATTTGGACACAATGTCATCCACATCAACATTTCCAAAAGGATAACACATGTAGCTGGTAACAGGCTCGATGGAGGAAAAGTCAGTAAATCGTCTCTCAAATTCTGCTGAGATGCTCTGAACCTGCTTAGAATAGTGTGCACTGTCCAGTTGTGGGACCTCTTTCCCTTGGCGCTGTAGCTCTGCCTCCATGTGTGGGAAGTTTCGCAGGTCCCTGCGTTGCAGCCGACTTGTGAGCAGTTGCAACCTGCTTTTGAAGGTGCTCACAGAACTGATCATGTGGATTATGTTTTTGTCCTTTCCCTGAAGCTCCAAATTCAGTTCATTGAGCAGGCTGGTGAGATCTGTGAGGAAGGCTAAATCCAAAAGCCACTGGGTGTCCTCTAGTTTTGAATGTTCACCATGATCTGACAGCTTCAGAAAATCCCTGATCTCAGGCAACAGCTCACTGAATCTGTCCAGAAATTTACCTCTGCTTAGCCACCTGATGTCCATGTGCAGCAGCAGGTCTGTGTGGTCTGCTCCTGCCTCCTCCAAGTGAGCCCGGAACAACCTCCTCTGCAGACTCCTGGCCCTTATAGAGCACAGTTTTCATGGCAACATCCATCACTTCCTTCATGTTTAAAATCTTCCCACACAGGGCCTGTTGGTGGATGATGCAGTGATAGTGCAAAATGTCTGGGAAAGCATCATTCTGCTTGCAGAGTGCAACAAATCCACTGGTGTGACCAGTCATTGCTGGAGCGCCATCAGTTGTTATAGAAATTAGTTTAAAGAGGGGCAAGTTGCTTTTATTAACAAACTCCATAAACGCATTAAAAATATCTTCTCCTCTTGTGTGTCCCTTCAAAGGCAAGATGGTGAGCAGCTCCTCTTTTGCACTCATGTCTGCAAAGGCCATTCTGATAAAAACACACAGCTGGGCTACATCCACCATGTCTGTCGACTCATCAAACTGAAGAGAGAAACACTCACATTGTTCCATGTCCTTTTTTAGCTGCTCCTCCACATCCACAGCCATTCCCTCACATCGCCGTGTCACTGTTTGTCTGGACAACTGCACGTCTTTAATAGCAGCTACGATCTCACTTTTATTTTTAAAATCATGAAAAAGCGCATCTGCAGCCTCAATAAACGCTTCTTTCATAACTTGTCCATCGCTGAAAGACTTCTTATGTTGAGCCAGGATGCGGCTAACACGGTAGGAAGCTATCATAGCAGCTTTACATTTTGTGCTGGGCCGAGTGAAGACTGATTGCTGGGCTGCAAGCTTGTTTTTTGGCTCCCGCACTTTCAGAGTCCGTAAAGAACTTTTAAGAGGGAAATCTGTCTCAAACCATTTGTGCATCGTCTTGAAATGCCGCTCCAAGTTACACTTTTTGGGTAAGGCAACGCTCGAATTACAGATGAGGCAAATGGACTTTGAATTAGAATAAACAAAAAAATACTCCTCCTCCCACTCTGTATGAAAATAATAAGTTTTCGTTTGCTTGTTCGCTAGTTTTCCATCCATGTTTTCTGCGCACCGACATTACTCCACTACTGAGCCTAAAGTCTCGTGAGAGCGCTGTGTCACCGCACCCAAAACTCGCGAGACTATGTCTGTGAGAATACAAGTCAAGGTTTCGCTTCGCGGGCGACTGGGAACTAGCTCGCCCGCGAGCGACTGGTTGGGCACACCAGGCTTAAACACTAAGCACATGTAAAAAAAAACAACATAAAATAAAAAGCTTGTTGTCCCCTGTCACAGCACAAAGAGGGAGTATTGGAAATACTCTCCATCCATCCATCCATGGTGTGAGAAACAGAAAACAGATGTTTGGTCCTAGTGTGTCAACATAGCTGGTTCTGAATCCTCCACTGCTCCTCTGTTTTGGGGGTTCCACATGGCTCTATTTGAGGTCCCCTGCTTTTCTCCCTTTATATGCTTCCTTTGGACTCAAACCTCAGAAAGCATGGAATATTTTTTTGCTATTATGCTGACAATACTCAGATCTATATTCCACTAAAAAAGAAAGCTGTACCCTCAATTAGGCCACTTCTGTTGTGTCTTGAATGCATGCATCAAAGTCTAGATGCCCTTAAACTGTTTAAATTTCAATGAAAAGAAAACAGAAGTGATGGTGTTTGGTCCTAGTGGCTATTGTCAACTTTCCTCTGTTGATGATGTTGATATTGATTTCCCCTGTTGAGGTCCTCTGGCACCACATGTAAAGGAAACAGTTTCTAATTTGGGTTTTAAAATGGACAGTGATTTTAAATTATATTCCCTGATTGGAGCAGTGGTCAAGACCAGTTTGTATCACCTAAAACAGCTGGCTAAGGTAAAGCCCATCCTCACACATCAGGAGTCGGAAACTGTAATACGTGGCTTTGTCATCTCTCAGCTGGATTACTGTAACGCTCTTTACCTTGGAGTCAGCCAGTCCTCCCTCAGACTTCTCCAGCTGGTCCAGAACGCTGCTGCTCGGCTTCTAACTGGAGTTCAAAAGAGTGAGCACATCACCCCCACTCTATGGCAAGCCCTTTTAACATAAAATCGAGTAGTCTGACTATCTGTAGTTACATTCTAGATATCTTAAATTGAGTTTTGACTAGGCACAATTACATTTTGACTAGTCAGAATGCTAATTTAAGATATCTGTATTTACATTCTGACTAGTCAGAATAACAATTCAAGATATCTTGAATGACGTCACCTGATTCGTCATTTGAAGGGTCAAACATCCGTAATTACAATTCAAGATATCTCGAATGTAATTATGACTAGTCAGAATGACACTTTTAGATATCTTGAATTAAGAAATGATGCGTAGGACCCGCGGCTGCTACTTAGCTGTTCAAACAGCTGCCTGCAGAATTTTGAGTGGCTGCAATGGCGCTAGCTGTTTCTGGACAACATTGTTAGAAAATGCCATATCTTCCTGTGGCTATAGTGTTAGCGTTAGACAGTGAGGAAAATGGCTCAGTCTCTGCGCTGTTGTTTTTGTTCAGTTCCTGGTTGTTCTTGTGGGGCAAGAAAACAACCGTATCTGTCCTACCATGCTTTACTACGCTCTCACAGCCTGCTTGAGTCACCATAATTAGGCAGTGTCTTACCTGAGAGAAGACTGGCTGGCTTTTGGATTTTTGTATGTGAACGTGAGGCCCATGTTTGTTTGTTTTGCAATTCTTAAATATTATTCATATTTATTTTTGTTAATTTCATATTTATATTCCAGGTTGAAGGTGACAGTTGAGTCTCGTGTAGGTTCCGTTCCACAGTGCTTACTTGTAAACCCAAGCGCCTTTTCTGTGTATAAATTATGTCCTTGGGTGAAAGTCCTTAGGTGGTGTTGCAGTAAGTTTATAAAATAAAAATAACATCCATACCCAAGCTTGTCACATGTATGTAAATTGTTCTAGTGTTACGTAATTACCAGTAGATAGTTAATGTTTTGAATTATTTTAAACATTCTTCAATTAAAACACACTTGAGAAGCATACTGTACTGTTTTTTTTATTTGTGGATTGATTCAGTTGAATTACAAGAAAAACAAGTGCAATTTACAATATCTAGTAAAAACAAAAAACATTTAACTATTTAAGTTAACATTTTATAACTGTACACTATAAATTGATAGTGGATTATAGATATTTTATCAAATTATGTAATTTCAAATTAAATAAATTGGCACATTTATGTATTTTTCATGAATAACTATTTACAGTATTTACATCTAAAAAGTTAAGTCTGGTCCTCTGGACATTCAAAAAAAACAAAACAAACAAAAAAAAAGAAGGTAGAAACGTTTCGTCTTTCATCCGAAAGGCTTCTTCAGTCTGAGGTGCTGCTCAAAGTCAAAGTCACTTTTA